ATTACAAAATCACATAAAAATGTCTTTTTTTATTTTGTCAATTCATTCATTATTCTCAAAATCAAACATACAGTAAATTAAAGACGAGTAACCAACGATATCTAAGTACTAGCATACCGTGTAACATAATACTCATAAAGAGGGTCTTTTAGCAAATGAAACTAATGAACTTGTCTCGGATCGATGGTAAGATAGCACGTACACTCACAATTTGAGATGTAAGGATATATAATGATTACGTATCTACACGTTGGAGATTCTAATCAGCTATTGACTAAAGTAACACATTATTTATATTATGTTTATATCGTTATGTTAAAATTTTAGAGGCGGCACCAGCAGCCTCATTAAAAAAAAATCGCAAGATTAGAGAATCTTTTCCTTTGTCTACCGACTATAATATTGCTATAGACTGTTATGATAGATTTATTCAATTATTTTTATTATGTACCAGACAACTACACCAATTGCCTGGTCTCAAACTAGGGAATTCTCTGTACTATGAGTACCATAGCAACAGAATTCACTCTGGGACACTTCTCAGAACCACACCAGAACAAATTTAGAAAACTTAAAAACTTCAGTTCCCAAATTGATTCTACCGAGAATCGAACCCGGGATCTCCGCATCCATCGCCTATAATGTAAACCGTTAAGTTAAACCGAGGTCGTCAAATGTGACGTGATTGATTCGATATTAACATTTTTGTGATGAATTAATAATCGATTCGACTGTCTATTTCTGATCGATCTGTCATGGGCGGGAAATAAAAAAAGGTTAAATGAAAGAGGATATATTGTTTTATATCAGGGTTTTAAAATGTTAACGCGTGGCTATTGCAATTTTTTTTGTATTTAATAACGCACACACTCAACATAGCCCCGCACTAGAGAAATCCTGTGTCGCGGGTGCATTTGTGCCACACACATAGACAACCACAAATTACATCCAAACTCACGAGAGAAAAAAATGTAGGCCTTACAAAATATTTCTCCCGGCCCGGGAATCGAACCTGGGACCTCCGCGTGGCAGTCCGGCATGGTAACCGTTCGGCCAAGGAGGCAGTTAATTCTTTAGATTTGATTAAAGTGACCTTTTTGTATTATTCTTCATATTATTTGGATGAGTCGCTATGCTCATAGTCACGCCTGTAGAACACGCGTGACGTCATATTTGAGATGATATTGATATTTTTTCTCTCGTATTATGTTCATGCTAAGGGTGAAGTATTGTTTTTTTGTTTTCAATTTATAAATTAGAATGGTAATGTAAAATATATTATCTAACAACATATTATATTTCACAATTAAAACTGACTATAAATATATCTAAATGTAATAAACTTATACTTCACCTACCTGATAAATTTATACGACTCTACCAGAGGCGGCTCGTCCTAAGGAGCGCTGGTGCAGTGAACTCCGGCTCCTATCCAACCCACCAAGACCGACCGTATTTTTTTCGCGCGCATTTTGTTATGTTATAAAATTCATTATTATTCAATCGTTGTTAAGAAGCGTAGTGTTGTTATAGTGCGCCATTTTAAACAAAAAAAATTTTAAATGGAACACATGTGAGTTTTATTTTTTATATGTATAGGTAAGTGAACACCCACTTAAATCTCCCACGAGCCGCCTCTGGACTCTACCTTAAGCCTCCTTTTGAAAATCGTATTTCTTATCAGACAATCCAAGATGTAAACATTTTTATAATTATTTGAGGCTTTTTTCATAAGTAAATCCTTGATATAAACTTATTTATGAGAATTCGAATTTTATTATTTTATTGATAATTATTTTGATGAATTCATTGGTTTATTATCACAGTTTTTTAATTGACTACGTTTTTTAAATTTTTGTATGTTTTAATTATAATTAATTTTGATTGACTTTTATATAATAAAATTGTGGTAAAAAAGGAATTTAATAATATCGTGTTCTTAGGTTTTTGCGAATGTTTATTACACATTGGAATTTAATGAATGACTGTGACATGTCAAAGGCAAAAAACATTGGTTTGTTTAAAAATAAATATACGTTATTTAGATCCTAAAAAATATTTTGACTTACTTATTATGACATTTTTATGTAACAAATTCAATAGGTGAATTGAAATTAATAATTAGTAATAAACGCATTGAAAATACTATAATCAACTCTTATAAAAAACATCAATAAAACACTTATTTCAACACGAAATAATGTAGAAGTTACTAATCATCACATTAATTCATGATTTAATTTTTCAAATTACGTCATGTCTTATAGCATGTATTAAAACAGCTGACTCTGTGACAATAAAATAATGAAGAACAATAAACCTACGCCGCAAAACGAATGCGATCATATACATATTAAATGTATGATGAATAATTAGAAACGATTTTTATTGAATAATAATTTTATATGTTTCTTATTAAGTCCTTTTTACCGCTTAATTTATACTCAACGTTTTTTTGTGTAGTACTATCAGCAAAGTCGACGCGTAACCATCTTAAGGGTTCTTTTTGCAAGCGGACAACGGCGGGGTCATATTATAATTATAAAGAAAAGACTTTTATAGAAAGAAGGGTTAAATAAATAAATAAATAAATAACGCACACACTCAACATAGCCCCGCACTAGGGAAACCCTGTATCGCGGGTGCCATGGACACACACATAGACAACCACAAATTACACCCAAACTCAGGGGAGAAATAATTGTAGGCCATACTACTATTTCTCCCGGCCCGGGAATCGAACCTGGGACCTCTGTGTGGCAGTCCGGCATGGTAACCGTTAGGCCACGGAGGCAGTTAAGGTTGTCGAAACATTACACACGGCTAGTTAATAATCCCCGTTTGCAAACAAAATAGTTTTAGAACTGAAGGGCTAGTACGACAGATGATAGCCCTACTGGAAAGGCTTCATCTTTGCTGACAGTATATGTATGTATCGGTCTATAGGTAAGATAATAAATAAGAAGAACGCACACGCTCAACATAGCCCCACACTAGGAAAACCTTGTGTCGCGGGTGCCATGGACACACACATAGACAACCAGAAATTACACCCAAATTCACGAGAAAAATAAATGTAGGCCATACAAATATTTCTTCCGGCTCGGGAATCGAATATGGGACCTCTGCATGGCAGTTCGACATGGTAACTCTTCGGCCACAGAGGCAGTTACAAGTAACTTATGAGATATTGCTGAACCAAAATAATGTATCAAGTACCTAACCCAAATATGCAACTCAAAAACGACCATACATATAATTATAAATATGTACTTATATTTATGTAGCATCATCATATCATTATGTACATTATATTGTGAATTCTGTCCCTAAAAAAAGATAATTTTTGTATCTCAATAGTCAGAATGATTCGCAAAATATCAGGACCGTTAGACCACCGTCAAATATCATTAGAGTCGGTCCGTGCTGCGCGCCAGTCCCCATTGCGCAAATATATTGATACAGGCTGATACAGAATCTAAAACATAATGAATAACCCTTTTTAAACATAAAAATAATTTATTTCAGACAAATTACAGGTATAATTATAGGTTATTGTTTTTAGTGTCATTGTGACTACTAAATTAGAAAAAAGTACAAAAGACAGGGGTAGACAGCAAACTACACCTACCAAGATCACCAAGTCCGCAGGACGTGAAGTTCGATGAACCTAAAGAGTAGATCCAGATCTCAACCTATCATCTTGAGAACTCTATTCGAGAACTCTTGCACTCTCCCAAATAGATAATTAAATACACTTTTACAAGGAAAGTCTGAAGTACAATTTTGTAAATATAATCCAGTCAGACAAAACAATCAATTTTTTTATGTTTTATCTCTTAAATTCCTTACTATTATTTTACTCTTTGTTCCTTTCCATACAAACTAAAGAATATTATTTTTTATTAGTCTATGTATATTTATCGTGTCTAATTTTAACAAAATATATATATATATTCATGATAACTACCTACTTAGGTATATAATACAAAAATTTTAGAAAGTAACTTACCTACTAACATTTCTTTTTTGTATCAACCCGTAAACGTATTAAAAGCACTTTGTACAGGTTCCCCCTCCCGTTAGCTGTTTTTGCCCCAAACGGCGTTTCAAGTTAATCATGGCCTATTGCTGCTGTCGTGTGCAGCTGAGAAATCACCTCTTTTGGATTAGAGGATTTTAATTAATCCACTGTGACCATGTTCAGGGTCTATACGTTGTGTATGTTCTCATGGAGTAGAACTATTAAGAATTTACCAATATTATTAGTGTACACTGATTTAAACTTTCACTATTTTCACACATTATTTGATTTTAAAATCGAGACTTAAACGTGTATAGAAACATATTTTGTTTGTATATATATATCAAGTAATTATGAATATGCCTCATTTGAAATGTATTTAAATACAATCAAAATGATAAAGTACCAAAATAAAATGTGTCATTATCTGCAAGTACAAAGTGAAACATTACTAAAAAACATACCTAAAGTCATTCTGTAATGACCATCATTTTGCCTACAAAATTGCTGTCATTGAACGTCGGTCTTTACATCCGAGGACAAAATGTTTTTTCTTCATCATTTATCAGCAAAAAGACGTTTGTCAAGGGAACCTATTTGCATGTGACTGGAGGCCGAGGCCGAAGAACGCGGGTCGCCATTAGCCACTTTTTCAACGCCGCCCCATTGTCCTGCTATGGACGATAAAACATCATGACGTGATGGAATTTTTATGTTTCCGATACTCCAAACGCCTGTAGCATTATGAAACTAAAACTTTAATCGCTTATAGATATAAAGCACTCATAATTTAACTTTGATTCGTTCCGAAATGACCAACAGCTCCGTGAAATGACTATTTTAGAACCATAATATAAAACATGTTCACGACGTTCATCGATATTTTATAGTCTCATGTCTCTATTACCTTGCTCATTTTCTAAGGTTGACACATAATAAAGTTTTTTTATAAAAATGGCATTTTTTATTATTGCAGACTGCGTCGTTTGCGCCCGCGCCGCAAGCCGAGAGCCGCGCTCCATGTGCACTGGTATGAGGTGAGTCATCTTACGTATTTATAATGCACCTACTGTGTTTACACCCGCATTTAGACTGATGGCTATCGCTTCGAATAAAGTGTAACAAATACGTATAGTTAATAAAACGTTTGAATCTTGTTTATATCCAACGAATTCTCAGACGTGTGAATTTAACGATGTAAAAGGCCTTAAAATATTTATTTTATTGTCACATTTAATTTCACTTTACATGTATTACATTTTATCTTCACGTAACTTTTAGAATAAATTTCGAGACTTTCGTGGTTATGCTTTTAATAATTATTGCTGGTTACAGTTTCTTTGCCACGGTTTGACTCTTATTTCAGTGTGGTTTCACGCTCCATCATCACCGCGATCATGACAGCTCTGAAATAATAATCCAAGATGAATAAAAAATTTCAGGCATAAACATAAATATTAAAAAAAATTAGATAGGTATAAACATACCTAAACCCGATATCCTTAGAAATATACTCTGTAAATTTTCTTTAAAAAAAATGTTGATTAATTCTATTAAATTATCTCATTTACACCATATGCATTTTTACATGTAGTTCTGTATTAAATTGAAACTATGTCAAAACGTCTGGTTTTACGTCCACATTCTACATTATCGTGTACTCGTGCGGCAGCTATTAGTTCGTCGCGCACCTGCCTTCTCCTCGATGTCAATGCCCGTCAAACGCTACACTACCACGCTATAAGCACAGGTACATATCGGAGTTTCAGCTGCTTTAAATATATTATTCTTGGCTAAGATGAACCTGTTATTCGAACCTATTATCCTTTTTTATAACAGTAGCTATATGGAATCAGAAGAACTCATTACTATTATTGTACATTAGCCTCATACATTGTTGTATGCAAAAGTAATGGGTATATTTTTAAGGTCAAATTCCTTAATGGGAATCATAGCGACAATATTAATAGCGTCGAATATTATAAGTACTTATAACAAAAAACTACGGGGATTAAACATCATATCTGTAATTAATTATTCAATTATTTCCGAGGCTTTAAACGTTATAAAACAATTACGCAATAAAAAGCTTATGTGTTAAGAATCAAGCAAGAATGTAACATAGAACGGTAGCGACTAGCGAGCGGCGGCTACATACGTGCGCGTTAGATAATGCGGCCTTCTGTGTTGGCGCCGTTTAGAAAAACGTAATTACACTGCGCAAACAAATCAAGTCTAAGAAAGCAGAAATACCAACCAACCATAGGTTGGAATTTGTAACCGCTAGGACTTTTAAGTGTGCTGTAATCTAGGTATATTCCGAGCTATTATCCTTAAGGTGAGATTCGTCGCGTATGTCAGAGCGCAATGCGCAACTATCAGGATATGCAATTACGTGAACACTAATTGTAGCCCTAATGATGCATTACGATTCATTGAACGTGCTTACGCAGTGTTGCATACACGACTTTACATAAGGTACGTTTCGAATTACGAAGGTATCATAATAGTTCCAAGAAACAAATTGTACGTGCTATGAGTTTTGCCTCGAGTCTAATTTATACAGTCGCTGTTTATAATTCTGTATATCATATAATATTATACAGTCATATAATACTCGTATATAATTGTACTATATTTAATCGGACGATGCTGACCTCCTTCATCGTCATCCCACCTTTTTATCATCCTCTTTTCTGGTTCCTAGCCTAGCATGTACTTTTGAAATTTTGACTCGTTCTCGAATTCCTTTTCCTTCACTGTTCTTAAGTTTGTTCTATCCGTCATCACTACCATCAAAATTCTTGAATTACTTTTCCTTCACTGTTCTTAAGTTTGTTCTATCCGTCATCACTACCATCAAAATTCTTGAAACGAGAAGACGTGCCCATAAATCACAAATCACCATCATTTTATAAAGTTTCACATCGATTACTATTAGGGGTTAAAGTATGAAATTGCCGTTTTATTGCAATAGGTTCTTTGAATTTTCATAGAATCTTCGTGGTTTGAGGTTTTCGAATGAAACTTTTTTCAAGTGGTTCCTGTGATTTTTTTTTTTTTAAATTTGAAACATTTGAATATCGACTTTCAATTGTTTTTGTTATTCAATTTAGACAAGAAAGATGGATACTGCGAAAATTCGAGTGATTTATGAATACGAGTTCCGACGCGGAACTAACGCGGCAGAAACAGCCCGCAATATCAATGCTGCGTTTGGAGAGGGGTCTACTAATAAACGCACCGTGCGATTTTGGTTTAAACGCTTTCGTGATGGAAATTTCGACTTAAAGAACGAGCCACGAGGAAGACCGCCCGCACAGGTGAATAACGATGAATTAAGAGAGATAGTGGAAGCCGATCCTAGTCAAACTACCCAGGAATTAGCGTCATGGTTTAACGTTACCTTACCCACAATATTGACTCACTTGCCTCAAATCAATAAAATAAAAAAATACGAAAAATGGGTGCCTCATGATTTGACTGATCTGCAGAAAGAAACGCGTATTGAAACTTGTGTTGCCTTGTTGAACCGGTACAGAAATGAAGGAATATTGGATCGAATTGTAACATGTGATGAAAAGTGGATTCTTTATGATAACCGGAAAAGAAAAATGCAATGGCTGACCCCAGGTTAAATGCCACAACAGTGTCCTAAAGCAAAACTTACCAATAAAAAGGTAATGGTAACTGTTTGGTGGTCTCAGCATGGTGTTATTCACTATAGTTTTCTCCGATCTGGTCAAGCAATAACGGCAGATGTCTATTGTGCCGAACTCCGAACCATGTTGACAAAACTAGCAGTAAAACAGCCCCGACTCATGAATCGATCTTCACCATTATTGCTCCACGACAACGCGAGACCTCACACAGCACGAGAAACCATTTTGACCCTTCAGGAACTGCAGTTAGAAACCATTCGTCATCCTCCGTATCCACCAGACCTTGCTCCAACGGACTACCATTTTTTTCGTGATTTGGACAATTATCTACGTGACAAGAAGTTTTCTTCCCAGGAGGCAGTACAAAATGCTTTCACACAGTTTGTGCAGTCTAGATCGTCGGAGTTCTATCGCAAAGGCATTAATAACCTTCCCATTAGATGGCAGCAATGTATAGATAATAATGGCAACTATTTTGATTAAATAAATTTGTTAAAATTTAAAAAAATAAACAATTTAGATTTTCAGTACAAATCGGCAATTTCATACTTTAACCCCTATTATTATAATATTAATAGTTATATAGGCCCTTTTAGGTTCAGTATTGTGCTAGTTACTTATATAGCGAGTTTTTTATAATAATTGTACATTTTATCATTTTATTCGTTACGTTTCTTTCCCTCTTTAGTCATCTCTTATAATAAATCTTATGGAGCGAGCCTTCTGCATTCTCAATTCGCTAAGGCCAAGCTGCAAAGTACAAAGTAGACGAAGCATATTGGGGAATTGTAATTGTTTGATTGTAAAAAAATTTGCACTAAAAGTAAAATATATAACCTAGAATACCGTTAATAATAATGAATGTTAAATGTTATAATAATAAAGTAGAATCTATTTTGAATAAAAAATACCCGTTCCAACATCTTTATGTGCTAATAGGACTGGAATGCAGTCTTACCACATGTTAAGTTAAACGCGAAGCAACCACTACAATAGTTGAATAATGGCCACGTTGCACATAATTACAACGACACGCTGTAACGAATAGACATGCAATGTATTCGACATTTTCACGAACGACAAATTACTAGTTATTATTCTACTTTAATGTTGTAAAAGTTTCCCATCGTATTTACTAATAAGCTTTTTCATAAGGTAATTAAACGTTTCTATAACGCTTTTAACTACATCATAAACGTTATCAGCTCGATGATATCATGACTCGACGATGATATGAGATCGCGGAGAAGTCAAATTAATTTTATTACGTGCATTTAAAATGTATCTATACCTGTAACCATACAGTTATTTATAGAGTCACTTTAAAACTGTGATTTGTGGGCAATCAAAAAGTAAAGCGGTGAAAAAAAATTGAACATTCCGTTCCTAAATGATTGGTACACAATTTGGCGTCATCATTGTCAGCATAGCAACCGAGACTTGCTCACAGAATACATATTTCATATCAACGCACGCACATTTAACGTGTTGTGGAGTACGAAAACACTTTTTTTTTATTGAGTGTGCAAATGAAAAGACTCGACAAATTACTTGGTTTGCCGAACAATAAACCCGCAGAACGTGTGATGCGGACAGATAACCGTGAAGTGTAGCTCGCATCCGGCCGGAAAGAGGTGCTTCCTCGCTCCGTTCTTTACAAACGACGTGGAAGCTTATTTTTAACATTCCATTTTTGTTTTAGGTCCTTGAACCGAAAATAACACGTTTTCTTGATTCAACATGAAAAAAACCAGTGTCAAGGAGGTTTATTATATGCATATAGGCAACATATCGCGTAAATATTTATCATGTAGTTTATCATATAGATGCAGATAAGTCTCATTACACTCTCGTACTCTTGCGATGACGTCAGAGCAATCAAACAACAAGCAACACCACTAAGAGCAAAAATTAACTAGCCCTCCATGTTCCTAAAGCCACCTCAATCTGGTCAATATGAAACACTGATATCAACCAGTTTGGTATTTTCTAGCTTTTCGCACTTTTTTACATCCCTTCAACTTCTCCACTTTGTTGGACATGAGCATAACGGCATACATACGTGTACAGTATTGCCAAAGAGGTCGCCGTTTATATATGACCTGATGGTATGATAGCTTTAGAGTTATAAATATCATAGTCAATGGTCGTAAAAGTTGCTATTCTGTAAATGCTCTGTCTGCGCTTAGCTACGCTCTCTACTATAATAAAAGCCAAACGTCCAAGAGCCTTAAAGATATTAAAACCTTCCGAACCCACAGTAACAAGCAGTAGAAACAGATAAGTAAAGTTTTAATCCATTAACATTTCCTGTATCGGAAGGCCATTAAATTAAGATTGAATATGCACATTGCAAAAGTACAGCTATTACTTATAAGACATCGACATGTTTTGATTCAGAACTGGTTAACTAGCCAGTTATCGGATGGCGCCTGAATTTCCGGTGATCGTGTTAGACTTCTACCATCTTATGAGTCACTCAAATAGCAGCTAAGTACGCATTGAGAAGGCAGGTTATCTGCTTAGCTAATGGCCGTACGTGTCGGTCAAGCACATGTAATGATGGTAGGAATAGACCACATCGTCCCGCCCAGCCTGCGGTCTGTCCACCCCGCCTCGATTATACAGCATGCAAATTACAAACGTGTCTCTTGTTTTTCTTTAGCTGCTCGTCTTCTCTTTGTATCTGAGCGAGCTACTAATATTTAAAAAATATTATTACAAAAGAAATAGCAGGTAGAGCGAGGCTTAATTGCATCGACAGTGACCTCGAACGTAATCGAGCATTTAATACTTTCAATTTTTCAATATCGAACCTGTTAAACGACCGGGGTATGTGACTGAATAAATAGCATTTAATTGCAGTTTACCGCGAATTTTATTAAATAAAGGTAGTCCAGGTAATGGTTACGCGCACTATGGATGATACAACAATCAACATTTACCATCGAGTTGTCAGTTTGTTTTTTTGCGGTGTTAGGCACAGTGGTTTTTATAGCTTTTACTTGTTCTACGTTTTAGTAGGTCATTAATACGTACTAGGTATTTTGTATAATGTGTTTGCCTACTAAAAATAAATGGCAACCCACGGAGATGCTGATGCTTTAACTGTTTAAAATATTTCGTAGTAGGTACGTTAAATAGCTACGTTTATGAGACCATCATAATTTGATTGTTAATAAAAATTAAATAATAAAAAACGCACACACTCATATCCCCGCATTAGGAAAACCCTGTATCGCGAGTGCCATGGGCACACACACATAGACAAGCACAAATGACACCCATACTCACGAGAGAAATAAATGTAGCCCATACAAATATCTCTCCCGGCCCGGGAATCGAACCCATGACCTCTGCGTGGCAGTCCAGCTTGGTAACCGGTCAGGCACGGCGGCTGAAAAACACGTATTTTAGATTCTAAGTGTTATTTACATTCTTCTAATCCGGTAACTTGTACATTGCAGAGCAGGCGGCAAACAATGTGCGGCGCGATGGTTGCGTGATCGGTCATCATGCGCCTCTTCCGCGGGCCGAAGCGCAGGGAAGTGACCGGGCCGCGCGCCGCCGCGCCGCCGTCTCCACGCCGAGAAGCTCGCGCCGCCGGACCTCCACCGCCGTCCGTGCAACAAGATTTCACGCTTGTCACTGCACTCCCAGCCATGGTCATGGAGGACGACGTACGGGAGATGAAAAAAGGTATATCTTCAAATCTTCAAACAAGCTTGTTAATCACAATTATAGGATACAGACTAAATTGCCTTTATCTCGTGTTTCAGTATTTGCTACGTGGGGTCGCCGCATGGGGAAAAAACTTGACATGTTAAAAAAGTCAGACTCGAAAGAAGCGCCCGATGAATCTCCTACCAATCAAAGTTTAGACGAAAACCAACAACTGACCACTGTGGGTCAATATAAAAAGAAAAACCATTGGAAAATGGGACGAAGTAGTTCTGAATGTACATCACTAAGAAAGGACAACGATAGTGACTCTATCAGAAGTGGTTCTAGAGACAGGTCACCAAGTCCTTTTAAAACGTTTTTCCATAGAATGGGCTCAACAGGAATGTTAAATGCATCAAAGTCACAGTCAATGGACACTCATAAACGTACCGAAATTTACTCTGTAGCAAACGGTTCTTCTTTGTATCGCAGCTGTTCAACTTCCCACCTGTCAACTTACGTCAAGGCAGACGATCCTTCGGACGACATTGATCTTCAAAATTCAGACAATTCGATGAAGAACTCTCCAACAAAACACGAAAACATCGTAACTGACGACAATTTAGTCAGTTCATCCACAAAAGCCATTAGTTGTGATAACATTCCCAATTTAGATGGGCAAACTAGTAACAACATTAGCAAAAAGCCTAACTTTCCGTACGCATTCTTAAGATCCAAACTATCAGTACTACCAGAAGAGAACAGTATGGCTTCACAGCAACGCACTAATAGTATGAGACAAAGTTTTTCAGAGAGAATAGATCGAAAATCACCAAAGTTCCGAAAAGAAAGGCTATGTCTCACGAACTCACGATCAGAGGAGCGATACCAAAGCACTGATAGTATATCAATCCATGAAGATGCTGGGAATCTTAGTCACGGACTACTAAATAATGTTTTAAGAAACGATTACGATTTCGCAAGAAGTTCTTTGAGAAGCATTAACGAAATAGATGGAAGTTTGTTATACCCCATGCGACGAATAGAAGATGTCCCACGTCGATCGTCGATGATTTCTCAAAGAGCTCCGTTTGATTACGACCCCATGCTCATACCGAGGAATAGAAATAGTTTGCCGGTCTGTGAGTACAGTTCAGTTCTCGGTTCTGTACGAGATCTGAAAACTGAACTCACTTCCTCCAATCAGAGCATACATCACGGACCCGAAACTGGTGAAGTTCTTCAAGCGCATCGACTAAGTAATTATGTCAGCTCCAATGAATCTGGTTACGACAGCGATGGTCGACCCACAGACGAACATAGCAACCATTCTCCGCCGGGGTACTCCTGCCATTTATCTACGGGATCTGTTCGTGCGGAACCCATCGATATGAACTCTGAGCCAAATCACAGTAATTTCACAAGGCAGTTAAGTTTTAACCACAAGATGAATGTAAGTAGAGTTCACGTTCCCGCTCGACGAAGTTCAACTCCTTGCGCTTTATTTCCAACTGACAAAGGATCGCCATACGAATACGAGAATGAGAGCAGAGACAGTTTAAATTCGCTTAAAATTCTAGAACACAGTGACGCTAAACCACCACCATTGCCAAAGAAAAATTTAAATAAGAAACCACCTCACATTTATTATAAAACAATGACCCTAGATGATCGTTTCCAGTCGAGAAAAACTAAATTTTTGCATTCACAATTATTGTCAGTGGAACACTCTTCAACACCAAATCTAGATGAGAAATCTTTAGCCTTAGAACAACAGCCTTATTATCCTGAAACAGATATTCTTGGCAGAGGCCCTTGTATGAAAAGATTTAGAAAAATCAGACTATTAAAATCAAGCTTGGATGAAAGTTTGGGTGTATATTTAGCACAACATAGAGTGGATTTTGATAGCAGTGGGTCAAATTTTGAAATACGATATATTGTAGTAAAACTTGACTATGATGGAATAGCTCATAGAGATGGGAGATTACGAATAGGTGATGAAATAGTAAATGTAAATGGCAAAGTGCTGCGTGGGCTTTCATCTTTAAAAGAAGTTCAACATATCGTTAACTCTTGTTCGACAGAAGCGATGCTAGAAGAAGGGACTTTATTTCACAGATACCAGGTTGACCTCGTTATGGCTCACGATGAGATAACTCCTATAACATTAAGCCGAATAATAAACAATCAGTCATGTGAACAGATCTCCACAGTCTGTACAAAATCCGGTATTCCACCAGACATTATCTCACAAACAGTGCGTAAGCCATCCTTGTCCAACCAAATAACTATTGAAACTCATTTCCCTACTGATGATCAAGAATATCCTTGTAAAACCAGTAGTAGCTGTGGGCAATCGAGTGTGAAAAACACATACGACTGCAATATTAGTAGACAAGACAACTATAAAAAATGTGAAATTGGAATTCAAGTGAATAGTGCTCCAATGAACTCAAATCAGAAAAGTGATGATGAGAAACTTCTGGAACGTCACTGTTTTTCTCAAGCTACTCCTTCATTGCAGAATATAACCAATATTGAAATCTCCATGAGATCTTCACCAACACCGCGGAATGGTCAACAGCAATTAGCAACAAACAACTACAGGCCTATATCGCTTCACAGCACTATGCTTCCACCCGTGATCGGACAATTTTCTGCGTGCTCAGATAACGCTAGCAATGAAGTAAAAGAAAATGCCCCACATTACATAAAACACGTTCCAAGGCTGTACCAGAACAGATCGTTCGAAAGTATCCCAGATCAATTCAGAACTAGCAATCGAAGTCGATTTTTCAGTCGAGTGGGCTCACAACGATCTTCGCCAAACCACGGATCCCATGTGTCTCGACAGCAAGAATACAATAACACAATGCATAACAAAGGACAAACTGGACACTATTACCATAATTTATTTCAAAAGGTAGAATTTTGGAAAGGACCCGGCCACAAAAGTCTTGGTTTCAGTATAGTCGGAGGAACTGATTCGCCAAAAGGACAAATGGGCATTTTTGTGAAGACAGTCTTTCCAAACGGCCAAGCAGCAGACAAGGGTACAATCTTTGAAGGTAAATTTAAACATAAATTGCACTGTTATGATATGCAATAACTAATAGATTATTAATGAAGTAACGATTTAATGTTTCATTCCTTAGGTGATGAGATCTTGTCGGTAAATAATGTGCTAACACGTGGATTGAGCCATGCTGGGGCCATATCACTGTTTAAACAAGTTAAAGAAGGAAAAATAGAACTGACGCTTTCAAGAAGAAGGTAAGACTTACTACTTGCCTACTTTTCTTAAAAATATGATTTAGTCACATGTTTTTGTCCCTTCGACTGGTTTGGTAAGAATAGAATGAACAATTTATTATAACTAACAATGTATTATAAAAAACTATATTGCTTACGTTTCAGAGCACCTAGGTCAAGATCTGTGGAACCTCTGGGCAACTTCCGAGGCGATAGCAAAAGGGAATAAAAAATCCCACACCCCAAAGAGACTTAATGTTACTGGAGTGCAATAATATTCACAAATACTTTATCGTTCTGCCAAAGGCGAAAATCTTTTAGCTTCTAAATGTCACTTACGTATGTTTTATGTATATATTATACTTAATTCACTCGACTAGTGTACATGAAACTACACTACATTGCTACAACGAATTATAGAAACATAGATATTATTGTAGATACTCATTATAAATTGGTCTAATCTTCACATCGAGCACTTTAATAACTAAGTTAGATTAAGAATATAGACCCCACTCTGTGCTACATTTCGATAGCTTGGTGTAAGGAATTAATAAGACTGTATGTTTGTAACTACTCGTACTAAGCGTATATTTTAATTGTTGCCTGGCTAAGGACGGTTATTGTTAAATGTTGCTATAGGAATGCTAGATCTCGTTATTTACTGTGTACTGATGGAATGGTTAATCGACCATTTTTACGCTTTAATAACTATTATAATTACCAGGGTTGATTTTGTAAACGTCATCAGATATACAATATCCTCTTCCTATTTTTTTACAATCAATAAGTTGGATTTTTAATGTTTTAGGCTTGACACTATGTTTTATAAAATATAGTGGGAAAAAAAGAAAATTAATTAAGGCATGCATAAATGTACTTTCTAGATACGTGTATTAAGCGAGCAAACAATTTTTGAGTAGAACATGGTTAATTTGACTAATGGTTGACCTGTAGCCATACAGTTTCATCGCTGAAGAATGATTTTCGCGTTATCCACCGTAATCATAAACAGACTGAGTTTTCTTACAACCAAATTCGAGTACCTAAACACTGCCAAAGTTTTAGACGTTTACGAACTTTTCTCTCTTTCATAACTCTTATATCCACTTACTCGTACATTAAGGATTTATAAAGTGATTAAATAAAATTATTGAATGTAAATGCTTTCGTATGAAGAAATGTATTGAAGCCGTATCTCAAGTTATGTTTGTAAACTTGACAGGTATTCCGAGTATTGTTATCAATCTCGAACTTATTCAAAATGGGAAGGATAACAGCACTGAGAACTTTTAAGTGACGCCTATGTCCATAGTCAATACCAGCAAATTTGCTCCGTCCAGTAAAAAATTGTCTTTAAATTTGTTAATTTTAATCTACATAAATGTGTAACAAGTTCATTCAAAATCAAACTTCAGAGTGGCCATTGAAAGTTAAAACAAAAATCTAATGTGCTTTCATTGGCATAAATACACAAGAAATTGAAATTATTCTAAATAATCGAAATAATATTCAATCAGTTTAAAATTTATACCAATTTTGCAGAATGGTCTCTTTCTGCAAAATTGGTATAAATTTTAAAATGATTCTGCGTCGGGCAATGGACATCACTAAGTATAAATAATAATCTGCATTGCATGTTAGACGTTGGGTTCACAGTTCTTGTGACCATTTTGTAGCTTTTACTGGAATTCAACTTAACGTATTTCAGTGTCACTAATAACCAAGAGATAAAATACTTATCATATTTACCAATGCTGGCTTCGGAATTGCACTACCTGCCCGCGCGGGTGCACTGTAGAGTGTAGAGTTATATAATTTTGTTTTGTTGTCACGCTTTTGACCCCCGTTGGCCATTGTATGGCATTCCGTTTACCACCCACGCGGGCTTAGTGCGTCTCTGAAACCATCCCAAAAAAATACCTATCACCAGTATTTGTTATGTGGAAAGTTTTAAGGTTAACCTTTTTTTTTGTAAATAAATTTTGTATTAATGTACCATTCATTTCAATGCTTCCATAGTTGTAGCGAAAAATAAATCACAATTATATGTAACAATTTTATTGATTTATTTTCAAACAGAAACTATAAACTAAATCGAAATACAATATCATCACCAAAGAAAACATTATTATATGAGTATGTCACAGTTTTTCGATTAACAACAATAAACTAAATCGATAGAAACAAAATAATAATAATAATTATTATTATAATATGTTTTTCGAATCAAAACTAAATCGATACAACAATGTTACAAAAATAAAGTAAAATTAATAAAATTATGTAATTTTCCTTGTAATTTAATGTCGAATATAAACAAAATCGATATAAACTTGTGTGTCACAAAAATAAATTATATCTAATTTGTAACTTTTTTTATATTCAAATAAAAACTACAAACTAAATCAAAATTAACATAATACATATAATCATAAACTATATTAGTGTGTCTTACGTTTTCTTTCCAATAAAAAGGTTAAACTAAAATCGAAATAAACGTATCATGACAAAAATAAACCACAAATTAAAGTATATAACTAATATGCCGATTTATTATCAAATATAAACTATAAATTTTATCGAAAAAAATTACAATAATAAAAAATTCACTTCAATCTAAATACACTCACGAGGCCGAAAGGGTACAGTACCAGGCCGTATACAATTACACTTCAGAAAAAAACGATCAGCAGATTTCGGCTTTGTTGAGAGTCTCTATCTCAGAACCTATTATAGTAGGTATATTATATGTTATTGTTCTAAGGTCTACATCAATCATACCTGTGTCATTTTATAACAATCCTCTGACGGAAACCGCGGTACACAAATCCGAAGGTATGTACTCGATTGTGGACGGTAATCTTTTTGTGAAGCTTAACGTATTATATTTACAGCCTGATATTATTTCCAAACGAAAGAAATAATTATTTTTATTTGTGATAGGAATCACCGAATCCCAAAATATTTCCAAAAAATGACTGTAGGAAATAGAAGCAGTCAAATTTGCCTCTAATTGTACGCCATGTACAAAAGTATGAGTGTATTCATAATTAGCTAAAAAAATATTTATTCTAAGGAAAAATATTCATTGAAAAAAATATAAATATTCAAGTTAAAAACGATGACCGTTTCGCAAGATTTACTTTATGTCACAGAGTATAGCGACTCCCCTGAGAATCCAGTGATCCGGGTTTTTGATGGTGGGCAGCCAAAGCGGTGTAATGAAGGTCAAGCCGGTGCGACAGGGCTTTTTGTACACTGGACACTAAATGAGAAAAGTGCAACCTTTAATGTTCAAGGTGTAATAAAAAGAAACGACCACATTTCAGGTAGTAATTGTATTTATGACAAGGAACAACAAGCAAAAAAAATTAGGCACATAGGTACTTTAAATTCTCTAAAACAACAGTTGGTTCACTATACTCTCCAATTGAATGCGAAATTTGTACATTGTACCATGTGTTTAAGCAAATTGGCTTTTATTACACTCACACATACACACCACGCCTTTTTCCCATCAGGGTAGGTCTGCCGACAGTGCTTTCATAGTCGCTCATTGGCGTATCTTTTATTAGGATTATTATTGTCAAATTAAAAATGGTACCTGTATAATAATCTACATAAAATCCATTCATAATAGCTTCATTATATTAATTTGTAAATTACCTCTGCTTGTAATCACAAAAACTAATTTACCTTTTCACAGGGTTGAACTACAGTTACTACGAGTTGAATCCACAAAAATAAAATAAATCATTTTAAAATAGAGATACCTGGTATAGTTTAGGATCCTTAGGCGCGGTGGAATTGATAGCATACACGTGTACCACGGGCAGCGCTGTGTACAGTACTTTGAGGGTGGACTCACAGAGTCGCAGATTACGCCGATCCCACCCCGCGCCATCTAGGAACATACCGTGAACAAATACTCCTTCCTGCAATAGGCACAAACAAATATTGATTCAGACATAGCGTTGGCCAGAAATACGTTATTCTAACTAAACGTAATTAACATAATACATATTTTTATTTTATTATAATAATTTATTTAAAAATAAATATAAAATGAAATTTGCATAGCTTATGTTAATGAGGTTAATGCAAGTAACTATTCCATCTCTCAACACCTCTTCTAAAGGACATGACCACACTCGTTCACCACACAAGTTTAGTGTCATTGTGATTATTTGCTATGTATGCTACGTTAGGCGTCATTGCATCTCCATAGAATTCATGGAATGAAAGCTCAGACACTTTTATATACCTTCTGCAGTGTACTGTAGCGACAATTTTTTTTTATGCAATTTTAGTAGCAGTAGAGCTTCCTGTGAAAGAGTTCGTCCAGGGCAGCACTGCCACCTTACTGTGTTCTGATTTTGAACGGTAAGGGTGCTGGTGAAATTACAGGCACATGGGACTTGTCAACTTATGTCTCAGGGCGACAGTCGCAGTGGTCGCAGTGTCCCTCAGATTTTTGCAATTTAAAACTCTGAGTGGCACTGTAACTGTTATGGACAACAGTGTAGCTTACCATCAGGCGCACGACTTGTTCGTCCCGTCACTTGATGTTATAAAAAAAGCGACGGGACGAGCAAGTCGGGCAGCAAATGGTAAGGGACACGCCTGTCTATGATAGTAGCAGCACTCAAAGCTATCGTAAAGATCTGAGGGGCATTAATAAAAAAAGAAGCATAAGTTGACAAGTTCCGTGTGCCTGTAATTTCACCAGTACGCTTACTCTTCAAAACCAGAACGCAGTAAAGCGACCCCAAAACCAACACTTGCCCCTTGACGAAAAACGAAGAGTCGTGATCGATGGTTAACGGAACATATTATTCAAGATTTATACCAGGAAGTGTTCTGATAAAATATTTTTGCTGATGTGTTTGACTATATTTAATTATGATATTACATAATAGTATAGAGTTTTTCAATAGCACTTTTCGCACAGTCTTCCCAGTGCGTACATACAAATTGTAGAATGCTTTGCCTTTCAAGGTTTTCCCTGTGCGCGCGCTACAATATGGTGTCCTTCAAAAGTCATTCATGTTTGGAACACTCTGGTACACAACGAAAGCGTCACTGTTGCTACAGATGTCCACATAATAAGGACAGTGCTTATTTACCATCAGGTTGCCCGTCTATTATATTTACCCTTCTTTCTTAAAAATGTAACCAGTTCATAGAATCTAGGGAAACCCTGTATCATGGGTGCCATGGACACACACACAGACAACCATAAATTACACCCAAACTCACGAGCACGCACGGACGCAGTTTGTAGGTATTATAAAAATATTAACCGGTGGTGGGACTTTAATTTCCTCCAGACTGTACTTGGTAGCGTCATTGTGCAAAGACACCATGTCCAAGGCCCATCCTTTATGAGCTCGAGTCACTTCCTGTCGCATAGCCGTCAGGAAACCTGGAAAGAAATTAAAAAGTCAATTGAAAACACGGTAAGTATCCTGTGTCGCATTTCGCCAAACCATACTCCATAACCACTTTTTGGGTACCGTAAAATATGCCGTACGTCTCACTGACCGTATAGATATTGACACTGTAGGCGTGCTTTATTTCTGAAGATCCCTACTCAAAACCAATAATATATTATTTTTTTTAAACATTGAAGTACCTTGAGGATTGAAGAAGCCAGTCATCCAGAACGAGTTGGGTCGCATGGTGAATATCCAGAAATTGAACTGAATATGCCTCTCGAGTAACTCGGTAAACCAGAATCCAAGGGTAGATGAAGACCATGACGATTTTAGCCACAACAATGGCACTCGGGCGTCGTAGATGCAGTCCAAAGAATCTCGAAGGGCCTAAACCAAACAGTACAATCACAATGAAGATTAACACTTGGTAGTGCATGGGGGGCACAAACGAGCATACCCGCACGACGTACCATTCCTATCCTGTACGTCTGGCGCACCCTGGGCAACGATCGGCGATTCTCTAATTTAAAATCAAATTCTTTCACCGCGATGGTAAGCATTACAGTTACTTTGATACGATAAGAAGAAGGTCTAGTGAAGATTCATCTTGCGACCAAAGAATTGTCCTGTATACTCTGTCTAGTCATATTTTTGTACGCTGGTTAACCCATATTTATAAACTATATGCATGGTATATGCTTGTATAGCACAGTAATTGACTTTGCTAAGCAGAAAGGAGAACTGACAGCAAATAGGATTTCAGTTTGACGTATTCTATCTGCTTAGTGTAAAGGATGCCATACTATAATCTCCTTTGAATGGACCAAAGAGGAGGAAGTTAGAAACAACTTATGCTACCGGCTGTACAGCTTATTTTTAACCGACTTCAAAAAAGGAGGAGTTATACGTTCGGCTCTGCATGTTTTATATATGTTTTCAGATATCTCTGTCAATTGTGGACCGATTTTGAAAATTCTTTTTTTTGTTTGAAAGGTATAATCTCGAGGTGGTCCCTGGTACTGTTCCGGGTTCGTTTCGGTTTTCTACTAACTACTAATTGTTTTCCGCAAACAAAAGTCGACTTTTCACTTGACACAATACATGTAATCAACAAATCACCGTCACCATGACAACCAGAAAAAAAAATACAAAAGAATGTACAAAAGAATCCGTAACAATTGTGACCAAAAGGTCAGAATCTGATTCAATGAAAAAGTAGCAAAAATTGTGTTAAACATCCAAAACTATGATCTTTTCATATTTTTTTACTTTAACAGTTTCAGAATCATTGTTTAGACCATTTTTGGTAAAACAATTTTACAGTCGTAACACAAATAATATAAAGTTACTAACTTCGTTCATAATAATGGTACCATCAATAGCTAGAAGTAAATCTTTCAAGGTCACACGCACTAGAGAAATAACTTTTTGCATGCGATCAAGTTCTTGTCTTAAGAAAATCACCATTGGATGGAATTGACCGTAAAATTTCAGTCTGAAAATGAACAAGCAAGAAGTTTGAAATATTTTTAAAATCGTACTTATTGCTAAAAAGATTTCTATATTATAAAATAATGAGTTAAAAATATCCGTCTTAATAGTTTCATATTTAATGCTAATCCAGAACTTTGAGACGACATCCATGTCTCCAAATTCTTGACTAGATTTAAAAAAAACATAAAATTTCATTACAATAATATTTGTGAATAGAACAAAGTATATAATAGACAAATAGGAAAGCTGTCCACCTACAGTGGCGTCACACACGATTGTATAACTTGAAAAACTAGTCATCGATTCTGGTAAATATAATAATGTTTACCCACTTCAAGTTACTATAAGTTTTATATGATTAAGTATCAAACAGCACCCTTTGTAAAAGTAACCCTACTTACCTACGGTTTGAATAATATTAGGTATCATTTAAATTTGTGACTTAAAAAACGAGACGTCACCTCTCCTTGACCTCCACAGGGTCAAAATTGGGCGGTAATTTGTCAAGCATTTCCTTTGACTGTCTGTACACAGAAGCCTCTCTAGATTCGCCTCCGCCTCCACCGGATTCCTTCGGTTGAATCGAAAGAATCGTATCCAACAAATCTTGGGTTTTATTGCGCTGGTATCTAGTGCATTGATTGAAATACATCTGTCAGTATAGGTATAGTGTGTTTCAAAAGGACAAATAGTATTATTAGGATGAGCCTGTTACTATTTGATGGCTTATTATAGGTAGCTACTTATTATGAACAACTTTTGAAAACCGAGTAATACATTCGAAGTATGTGAAATCGTCGGAATAAAGCGTCTCTTTTTCATAATCCATTATTGCAGGAAGACGTTGGCTGGTAGATAATTAAGAACTCCACTTCTTTGATAAAGCTTGTTCACTTTGAAACAGAACTTTGTTACTGACGAAAGACCAAATGATGGACAACTTGGGACCACGATACGTGGACAAGCAAGTCAGTCGCTGGATTAATAAAAGTGATGTCGCATGATGAGCTGCGTCGACATTGCAACGCCTGAGCGATGACGCTGCGTTGCAATATAATTATATAAATCAGAACGACATGACACGTCGGCGTTGCGTGATCGGAATACGTGCACATTGGATAAGGGGTCAGGAGACGAAGCGGGGAGTGGAGCTGCGGTGCGAACTTTTGCAACGTAACGCCAGCGTTACTTTGCGATACCGCAGCGCTCGTGCGGCACTCGCTGCGTTAAAATCATAATGTTGCGACGGCAACGTAACACCGACGCAACGCCCGTGTGGCATAACTCTAAACAACAATTAATGAACCTTTACCGAAAGGCCGGTAGTTTTGAAAGCACGCTTCATACAAACGTAACTTGATCATTTTTCAAGACATATTATTTTAACCACAAATATTTGCGTTGCGTTTGCGTTATGGATGAGTCTAAGAAGTTACAACGGTATTTTTCGTTCACTGGGCGTTTTAGGTTTTTGAGCTTAATATATTATTAAACAAACTTACGTGATATCAGCATTAGTGTGCAGTCCATAAGCTTGTGGAGGGTCGGTGGTCTTCATTTTGTCGATTTCCTCAATATACTCGGGTATATTCTTAAACTTCATAATGCCATAACCCTTATAGAACTGGAAGTTATCCGTAAACAACTGGTCTGTGAGCCACACACGAGTGAAACAGACAAGTAAACGAGTATCATAATCATCGGTTACTCTCCCGCCGTATTGAACAGCTGACACCATGTAACTGAGCAAATGAATAGTTAGTATTATTACCACCTTAGTGCGCGTTCCCATTATGTCGTGACGACAGATAGTTGTGCAGTTTCATACATGCAACAACACGATGAATTGTCATTCACGATCTTTTGACGTAACGATTTCGTGACAATGGGAAGAGCTACAAAGACAGTCGTCAGACGATAAATAAAACGTGGCGATAAAAATGTGACAACAGATAATCGCAGTTTCAAACAATTCTGTTGCGCAAACGACAAGACGGTTGCCGTGAACCGATAAATTATCGTCACAACGTCCACGACGACATAGTCACGACAGATAGTCGTGATATGAGAACAGGCTTGACGCGACAGTCGTCCAACGATAAATAAAACGTTACGACATAATGGGAACGCGCCCTTATGGTGGATAGCTACCGTACCGCTGCTTATAAACCTCAACATCGTAAAAGTGTTGCTGAAAGTAGGAGATGTGATCAGAGAGTCTTTACTTATGCATTCGTCACTACACACACATGATTAAGTTTACATAAAAAGGCAATTCATCGTGAATATAGCATTGAACCGAAACTGCGGCGCCATGTATCTAACCTTAAATAGAGCTTTACAATACGACAAACACCAAGGGATTCTACAGGTAAAAGTTGTATAACTTTTAGCAAACAGTAATGTACGTGACGACACTTGAACGCAATACCTTCTGCCGTTATCTGTATTTATTAGTTCATGACGTGTTTATTTCTATTTGTTTCCCTTAAACATATTAATTATAACGAAAAAAACATACCGCACTGTAGTCCAGCTAATACCCTGTCCAGGCTCTAAATATTCCAAATGGTTTTGTACGAACATGCAAGACGCTAGCCAGTCGGCTGAATTAAATTCATACGGGATATTCCACCCGAGCGGACCGAACTTGCGTCTCTCTTGCACAACGGTATGTAGGAAGGAGATTGTAAATATCAGAGGTAGGTAAAATGGACTATCGCTGTAATCTAGGAAGTCCTGACTCATGGAGTCGTACGTCCTCATTAAACCGGCCTTAATTCCTGTAAATAAGATACACATCATGTATATTAAGAAGGGGTAGCGCCTGTCTATAACAATAGTGGATGCATTTATTTAGCTTACCCGAAGGAGGCTCACAAGTGTATTTAATGGACATCTGCAACAAGGTTATGGGAAACTTAGGATGAACTTCTGTAGTGATCCACAATCTGTAACAAAATCATTGATTAAAAGATAACACACAATCTTGAGTTAGGAAAGATCTGAAATAATATCTCGTCCTTTGTAGGACGAGACATTTGTTTCGGATCTTTGGAGGAGGTGAAATAACATTATAAAAATACGCATAGCTGAAATTAGTAAACAAACAGAAATATTAGCATTACGGCGTTCCAGTTTGGAAGGGTAAGGGTACTGATGAAATTACGGGCACATGGGACTTGTCAACTTATACTTAACTTGTCTCAGGGTGACGGGCGCAGTGGCAGTGTCACTAAGCTCCTTGCGATTTAAAGCTCTGAGTGGCACTGCAACTATTACGGATAGGCGTGTCGCTTACCACCAGGTGCACGACTTGTTCGCCCCGTCACTAGGTATATTTAAAAAAATCCAAATACTTTTTTTAAAGACCGGATAGTTTACTTTTTTCATTTTAAGTTAATTTGAAATACCAAAATTGATCAAGAGTCTTTCGAGACCTTCATCATTTATTTGTTTTAATTTCCCACTATAATACGTGGAGCACACATAAATAAGAAAAAAATACTATAAATGCTCAGAAATGAATTTATTGTTTCTCTAAATATTCTCCGTTAGCGTTAATGCACTTTTTCATACAAATGTACCAATTTTGAAAACATTTATGCCACTCCTCCGTGACAATCTCTGAAACATATTTTTATACTCTTCGACAGCCACTTAAAAATCGCTGACCGCGTAACTGGTTCTTAATTTTTGAAAATACATAAAAGTCACAAGGTGCCAGGACGGAACTGTATGCGGGATGGCTTATAAAGTCAACATTGTTCACTTTTAAAAATTCATTTGTCTGTATGGCCGCAACATGATACGACGTTTATGATTACTTTTACGGAGAAACAAATGGTTGTGTACCAATCGCTATTCACGGTACAACTATTCTCCAAAGCAACAGTAGCCACGTGTCCAGTTTTATTAAAAAAAGAAGCAATCATCCGCTTAGAGGCACTTTGCACGCG